CGGCTCTTGTGCGCGTGTCATGCGTTTTACCCCACAACTGTCTCTATCATAAAGCCATCAAAAAAAAATTACTTAAAAAAAGGGAAAAAAAATATTGCGTGCCCCCCACCTCTGAAATCAAAATTTCGTTCTTGGTTAAAGGCAATGAAAAATTTGGGTGCACCTAAATTTTGTGCTGGTGCACGTAAAAAAAAAAAAGTTAAAAAGTTAGGCGCACCAGTGCAACCAATGCAAAAAGTTAGTCTGGAGCCCTGGACTTTGTGTTGTTTTGTATCGGGTGGAGGAGTGATGGACGGTAATATAGTTAGCTCACCGCGGTCGTTCTCAGACCCAAGTCCCCACGAAGAGCGCCACGCTTTAAAGCCAATTTTACATAGTGGCCAAACCGTACCATGCCATGATGCACATGGACCCCAACGTGAGCTTTGAGCATGCAAAATGACTTGTTTACTATCAAAATGTGATCCATTTGGTCCAATAACATTTGGATTTGATGTCAATTTAAATTTTTGCAGAGCACTGCACTCATAGACTAGCAAAGTTTCACAGCCGGTAGCAACATAACTTCTGAAGGAGGACATCTGTTAGCCTTAAACTTACAGTGCTGGAGTTATAACAAGTGAAATCCCACTCTGTACAAACCCTGTTACATTCTGACAGGCTTGTATTGCAGCTATCTTCACTTCTCCCTGTTCTTTTAGCCTTTGTTCTGGTCTTCGGCAGATGAAATGCATGATCAGTTGTATTTAGGTTAGGTGATGGAATGGTCATGAATATTTCACAATTTGGCCTTTTTAAAGGTCCTTGGTTGCTTTATCTATAATTATGGGTTCACTGATCTGCTGAAGAATCCTAAAATAGGGGGAGGTACAAAAACTGCAGTAGATCCCACTAGTTGTAATGTCACAAAGTCATGGTCATACCTACACATTTAAAGGCCCAGTGTATAACATTTATCTAACACTGCCAGATGCCACTAAACCCTACTTGTCCTTTTAAAGAATTCAAATTTAAAGTGTGCACAGTAAAACTTTTCCCCCTTTAGCAGACATATGTGAAGTCTTCTAGCTTCAAACTATACACAATCATTTTACACAGTGAAAGTCGATAACAATAAGCAAAACGTGTGGGACTGTTTTCCTTGAGCTGTCTCTGGTAATATATTAGGGTAAAAGTAAAAGAAACTCACAGAGTTCCAGTAATACACCAGTGTTCTAGACAGGGAGCGTCTGTTGGCTCTAATGGTAGTTCAAACTTTGATATTTCAGTGTTTTACAGTCAAGGCAGGATGTTGTTAAGCAGCTCACCTTGACTCTGCAATGCTGTGGGCAACTCTGATTAAATTATCAAGTATCATGTTAACCTAAAGTGGCAAAATAGAATAAAGTGTGTGTGTCTGTGTCACACCGATTTCCTGCTTGCAGCATGCATTTCACAACAGGCGAGAAAGGTAGAAAAAGAAGAAAGTTAATATAGAAACAGAAAGAAATGATTGCTTTTGCTTTTTCTCTAATCAGTCTTTTAGATAACACAGTTATCCAATGTCATCAGTTTGTTGCTCCTCTCTCATAATTATAATTCAGTGTTTACATAGAGAGGAAATGTTTTAAGATGAGTTGCCCTTTTGTGTTGACTTCTGGGAAAGCTCTGAAGCTAAGTACCATGATGAACAGTGTGAAAATTGCATCTAGAAGTCCAGATGGGCACCTCATTTGAGATGTTATCAAGGCCTCATGCTTCATTTTCTTTGGAGATTGGATTCTTTCAGCCAGTTCAGTAATTAGATATTTTATTGGCTTTAGGGAGTTCTTTGAACTAATCCGAATGCTCACAATCATGTTTTGATTGTTATCTTGTTTTGTTGATTTAAAATCAACCCGAGGTTAATAAAGTAATACTTCTAAATAACATTGTGTCCCTTCTGAAGTGCTGCACAGTTGCTGAAAGTTCTGTGTTCCTCTGTTCTTGTGGATTTCAATGTGAATCAATTTTTTGTCTGGTAGATTGCTATAATTGGAACCAGGTAATATGATTGCAGTCACCCAGTGTTTCACGGTTGCTCTAGCATTAGGCTGTAGAAATGCATTGATGTAGCTCATGATGTGAATTTAACAGTGAGCAATGACTTTTCTGAAAGAACGAGTACCGTCAGGTTTTGCGAATTTTGGCATCGACTTGGTACCAAAGTATCGGTTCTTGTGACATCCCTCTTAGATAATAAGATAATTTTACTAACCTTAATGTTACTTTACTTAAAGGGCCAGTTTGTAGGATTTACAGTAGTGGAATCTAGTGAAGTTGCAGATTGCAACCAACTGAATATTGCTCACAAAAACCTTAAAGGCCCCATCTAGAACCAGTGTTTGGTTTGTCCATTCTGGGCTACTGTAGAAACATGGCAACCTCTGTGGGAGAGGACCATCTCCCTCTAAAAATGGCTTATTTTAAGGTAATGAACACAACGTTTCTTATTTTCAGGTGATTTTAATATACACATTATGCTCTGTTAGAATACACATTTAAATGTATTTGATTTCTAAGTAAGGTCAAATTTCAGCTTCATTCATGTTTTTATATAAAGAGAAGAGCTTACTGCTTGATATGGAGATATTGGAGTATACATGTGTGGCTTGTAAGTTTGTGTAAAGTTACAAACTGTAAAAGTGCGATAAAAAATACATTTAATTTAATAGAATTTTTAGAACAAATGTCATCACCTCAAGTCATATCACTGGGGTCAGTGTTCTGTTAGTACACAAGACACAGGTAACACATTAGGTCAGACAATCACGTAAAGTAATGTATGCTTCACTGTATGGCTCCACCCAGTCAGTGACCTTTAACCTGTGTTAGAATGAGTCTGGAGTGGAACAGACACACAACTTGAATACTAAAACTGACCTCAGCTACAGTCTGGTGGGTTGCCTTAATGTGCTATATATGTGCAGCTCTGTGTGTCTGTCTGTGTGTTTCGCCTCAACAAAACCAACACATTTGCAGGTCAAAGTGCAATTGGCCGACGTTTACCTGCATCTCTTCCTCTTATTACAGCCCACTCTGGCGTGTGTGTCCATCTGTAGCTCGTTTCCCAAGCTTCACAGCCTGTGATTGATGGAATGAGCCAAGGAGCAGAGACGGACAGAAGGAGGCGGATGTATTTATCGAAGCAAATAAAAAATGGCTAGAGCGACGGAGACAGAGGAAGAGAGAAAGAGGGAGAGAGAGATGAGCTGTCAGGGGTTCTTGAATGGCACAGCAATTTCCACCTGCAAAAACAAACCCTGTGAATCCCTGCTGCACTGGCTCAGACTGAGTGAAAAGATTCTCTCTCTGATGGTATCTGACATGCTGTTATTGCCTTTCACTTGCTGCACTTTGAGCGCACTAATGGATGTGCACCAGCAACCACATATGAACACACGCAAGTACACACGCACACATAGATGCGCACACTTCTCGTAAGTCACATTTTTGTGTTTCTCAAGTGGAAGCAAAATCAAAGCTGTCTGTCTGTTTCTGTCATTTAGGTCATTCAGTGAGGTGAAAACTGGGAAAAGGGGCCAACAAGAGGTAGAGTTGCAGATATGCATGCACATAAACACCCACACACACCGTTGTTTCTGAACTCCAAGTGCTCTCATCTGTTCTTAAAGTGGTAACAGAACTCCTTCAAATTCAAAAAGCATTGTGAGGAACTTGTTGGAGCAGATGTCAACAGAAAGTCAAAAATTTAAAAAAAATGCCTCTCAGAAGTTATAGAAGAATCTGGTGTCAACAATGTTTCCCTCTCCTGCATCCATTTTCTCAAAGAAGGCAAAGCAGCAGAGATAGCTGGATTATATATTACACCTGCTGGAAAAACACAACACCCACTAATGGCTTTACAAATGAAGGAAAGACAAACAGTTATGTGCAGGCTGCAATAAAAAGTGGATGAGTAGCTTAAATGGACAAACAATAGGTGAAGAGATGTCACAGTGGGGCTGGAATAGAATGGGGGGAGGACAGAGGAACGAGGTGATTGCGAAATGTGAAAGGAGCAAGGGATGGAATAATCTTCCTCTTCTTTACCAGTTCTGATGGGATTGGACTTTGTTCTTATCTGGCACGAAAGCTGAGTGAATACGTTACCCGGTCCACCGGTTTATAAGTCATCCCCTTAAACCTCACCCGGGAGGGAAGAGGGGGGAGGAGGAAAAGGGATGACTGAGAAAGAAGGGGAGAAAGAAGCAACAGGAGAACAAAGAACCAAAAGACGCAAAGACTTAAAGTGGAACTCTGGGGATTTCCAACATTACTACAACATATTCATCAGATTAATAGTGGTGCCGTCCAGCAGCTGCAGGGATGTGGATGGATACCAAACCAGAGGCGGAGGAGGCCAGCAGGAGCCGTGCCAGTCTCAGTCGGCGTGTGTTAAACGGTCTGCTGTTGTGTACTGGGGACATGGAGCACTTGGATAAGTACATGCAGGGTAGGAAAAGTCAAAACACACTGTTATGTTCATAAAACAATTGCTTCCTTCTAATATTGAACCCAAGTATAAAATGTAATGTGCTGCATGACCATTATCCAATGTGCTTGGAAAATGCTCAATTTGTTAAGTCAAGTTTTTACATAATGTGATTAATTAATTGTCAACAGGAGCAAGCTTCCAAACATTTGGAACGTGTTAAACTGCCATAATCATAAATAAATGAGTCTGAAATGCTTACACTGCCATTAAAATATGCAGATGTAATCATCACACAACTCCCACGGTGAATGCTGCTGCCCTCCTCCTCCAACATAAAACATAACATCATTAAACTCCAATCTTGATTCTTTTATAAAAACCCTGTATTTGCATCAGGAAACCCAACTGAGAAACAAGTTTTGTGCTGCAGTTAGCCTCTTTAGTTCCACTTTTACTACGTTTGAGAAAAATGAGCTGGAAATATTAATTTTCCCCCAAAAGGTTTTTTGGGAAAAATGCTGCCAAGGAAAATGTGTAAAAAATGTTTTCTTTCTGTGTCCTCAGACAAGTTGTTTGTGCTGCAGATGGCGGTGTGGGGCTTAAGAGGGGTGGCCAGGGTCATTCTAGCAAACAACCCGCTGAGTGGTGCTCTCGTCTTGGCTGCACTGTACTGGGCCTCTCCCTGGCAGGGCCTGCTGGGAACTCTGGGTGTACTGGCCTCTACGCTAACAGCTATCATCATAGGGCAAGACAGGTGGAATGAAGTGACTATATACAAAAACACACACTCATAATATAGAAGCTCAAGAAAGTATACATTTGTATGCACATGTTTAATGATCTGGATATTTTAAAACCACACAACAGAAGAATGTCCCCTTAATTCATAATTGAACCCTCAATAAAATCCTGTCTGTTGCTTGGAAGCAGACCCTGTTACACAAGTCTATAATTTTCTCGACCTTACGGCTAAAGTAGATTGAAGGTTCTACTTTAAATTCATGATAATAACGGCTCCATGACTGGTAGACCTGCGTTCACCCACTGCCTAGCAATTCTTATTTTAGTTCCTGTCCCAATATTTATACCACGCACAGCATAATATGTTAAAATACAATCTTGTTTTGAGTTTAAAAAAGAATTCCATCTCAACTGGGGCCTGTCAAAACATGTCAAATACATTTAGTGTCACCATGGGGCCTCTGCTCATTAAAACTGAACTCTTTGTTTCACCAGGACAAATAAAAAGTTGCGCTAATGTGTGTTTTGATCATTTTTATGATCTAACTGTACACCACTGTATTACAGCAATGTTGTCCTCTTTTTTTCTTCAAAATAGAGGAATAGAAAATACAAGCTGTAATTGTGTTGTTTTAATCTTCCTGTTGTGTGTATGTGTGTGTGTAGTGCTGAGGTATCGGCGGGTCTCCATGGTTTTAACGGCATGTTGGTGTCTCTGCTGATGGGAGTCTTCAGCTCTGCTGGAGACTGGTACTGGTGGCTGCTACTGCCTGTGTGCTTGGGGTCAGCTACATGGTAAGACACACGTGCACAGACATGCACATGCTTCTTGTACTGTAGCTCTGCATTCATTGCAGGTGCCCAACAGTTCCTCCAAACCAGAACAAAGTATTTTATCTTACATTGCTTCCTAAAATCTGCTCTGGTCTGTCTTGTTTGATTCATACTACAGTTCTCTGCAACCACTAGGGGGAAACTATGTGGTTTAAGTTAAGGAATATATTGTGGTCAAGGTTAAAGGTAGCCCAATTCCAGACGTTCCCTGATGTCATTATTATAGAAACGAGTTGACAGACTAATCCATTTTTTATTTTTATCTTTTTATTTTGTGAGATTTGCAGATTTCACAGTAGTTGTGAGTCACTATGAAAACGTAGAATCACCCCTGTTTCCAAGGGAACCATATTGCTAATGTCAATCAACCTGCAAATATTGAGGTTTTTCCACACATTTTCACTCTGAAAGCTAAATATAATGGCCGCCCTCTCACTACAACATCCAATGGCATATATCAGGAGTGCCTCCACTTCACTCACAGTGTACAGAATGTGAGTGATGTGAAGGATGGGCTCTGCATTTAGTGTGAATATGATCAATACACATGTCTGCAAAAAGCATGTATGTAACGAGATCCATCTCCTAAAAAATATTGAAAACACCTCTACTCTCTCACCCCCCGTCCCCATCTCCAGTGTCTTTCTGTTCGGTGGGCTCTCCTCAGTGTTGGACCGCTGGGACTTGCCTGTCGCTGTGTTTCCCTTCAACATCATCATTGTCCTCTACCTTCTTTGTACTGGCCCAGACAACCCCTATTTCCCGCACCACCCAGCTACACCACCAGGGGCGCTGGTACCAAATGGCACCGAGCTCATTGCAGTAGAGGTAAGGCAATCCAACAGTGAACTAAATGTTTGTGCATTGGTTGAATTCAATCATACCGACGCTGGCAGGTACTATTTGGGTTAAGCTACTATATTAATATTCACATGTACGTGCTAATATATTGCATACCATGTGATGGGAATTCGTCAGTTGATGGATTTAACATCTTTAAAATAATATCTTTACTGGAGGAAATTATTTGGTGGTTAATGTTTATTGTAACAAGTAATGCTAACAATAAGTGTCTCCATTATCTATTAATCGCTTTCATTTTGTGGCCCTTTTCTCTGCTCCTATGGAAAAGGGACACTTTTAGGCTCAATTTGCATTTTTTCCTCATCAGCAATTCATCACAAGGGTATCTGTCAGAGTAACATTTGCAGTGATATTTGCACAGAGACGGCCCGTCAAGTCACATGATCACAAAAGCCGGTGCAGATCATTAGTAGTCTCAAGGGGCGCTATTAGAAGTGACAGGATATATGATGAAAAAGACAAAAAGCAAGCTGAACGAAGGCCAGAGTCATCCTCTGTGTGTCTGCCATGTTGAAGCCCGGTCTCCAGAGTGGAGTAACTGATAGGAGCACAATATGTATAAGATCAGCCAGCTATGACTCACCAGTTACTTAGCAACAGTCACTGATGGAGCTCCTGTTTGGAAATTATAATCAGCCCAAACTGTTTTAATTAACAATTCTTGGTGATTGAAAGTCATTGTGGCTGATGTAAGCTGTTGCATTCAAGATAACGTGTTAATGTTATTTTGTTCAGTTACTGTGGACTGAGATTGTGCATAATATTAGTACAGCTTTAAATATGAGTTTCGATGAGGCTTCCAAGACGGATACATTTAGGGTGATTTTATAGCTGCCGCTTCCTTTTGTATAGCCAGGGAGTTGAAAACAAACGACAACAATAAAACCTTGAGGCCTAAATTTATATGCTACTGAAAGTCCACTTAGAATGCAAGCTGTTGCACAGTACACCTTGTAAAGGAAATGGAGAGTCCGCTTTGACCACTGAATTTAAATGAAATGCAGCTGCCTTGAGCTGCTTCTTACAATATTTGGCAAAAGAATCCAGAGCAGCTGCTGCAGTTGGTTTTTGATCTCCGTGAGGCAGCTGGTATTTCGATGCTTGAAGAGTGATGCTTTTGTTTGGAACCGGGCAGAACAGATTATGGGATCTGAATCACGAGACAAGCTCTACCTTCTTCCACATATAATGAATGTACATAAATATTACTTGTTAGCATTTGTGCATATGTATTGACTAACAGCTTGACAGTATGTGCTTATTATATGGAAGGCAAAACCTCACATGAAAATACAACAAACAAACAAAATATACACATAAAGAATAATATGCAAAATATGCAATATATCTTAGCTGTACAAATTTTATATTTTAGTAGAATAAGAATAACATATATATATTTTATGTCCAATATACAATGAGATCATTTAAAGCTGCACCAATCCATATTTTCATACTTCAGTAACAATATGTATATTGTGGAAGAAGTCATTCTGATGAACCCGAGAGAATTATCACCCAACTCTGCATTTCCCTTTGGCTCTACAGAGTGATGCAGCCTCATTCAGCTAATTGTTTCCGTTTTTGGCCCCCAACTTTATTGTTTCATCACCTCGGCCAAGCCCCCACTGTACATTAGCGACAAGGCACCAAACAACTAACAGACAAAGTTAGTGGTTTGCTGGTGAATGAGCTAAAAAGCTAAAGAGGCAGACATCCCAGGAGTTGGTCGAGACTAAACCAGTTATAAGGCAAGGGAATATTTCACTTATATTTGTCTTGTCATCAAATAAATGCTGATATTGCACCATTTCTGCTGAATGTGTAAATGGGCTCATTTCCTCTCATTTTTCTCAGAATGGACAAGGGGAGGATGTTTACCAGAGCATCTCCATGATTTTAAGTCTTGTCAGTACATTTTGGAGAGATGAAATAGGAAACTGTAAAGAATAGCAAGATTCAAATTAAGTGTATAAGAGAAAGGGAATGACAACAATAAATACAGCATTTTAGAAAATTTAAGGAAGATGCATTTCACCCAGGGACCTTTTGCTGCATCAGTGCTTAATGTAAAATTCTGTATATTTATTCACCACATTAGCCGAAACAAAGGTAACTTTCCACACTCCTTACATGGTGGAAAAACACTAGTATGACCTTGCTTCATTCTTTCTTCTACGAAAAACCCTCTTGAAACACAATGCTGAAGATGGAGACAGTACCTAACTAGAGCTGGAAGATAGTATGAAACTGACAGTGAACACTGAATTAAGTTGTTGGATTTATTCACCACATGGCGTATGTTTCTGCACACGATGATCTGCAAACTGACTTTGGAAACTAGATTAGCTACGCTGCCTAAGCCCTCTCAGCGTTGTTAGGTGTCCTGAATATAGAGTCAAGATTTACACACGATTCTATTGACAAGCAGCCTTTGGCACAGTATGTCTCTCACACTAAATCATTGCTTTCTACAAGTTTCAGCCCCCTGACTCAGATTTTTCTCTCTCGTTATATTTCAGACTTTCTCCCTCGTTTTCTTTTTCATCCTTATCCTTTCTTTTTAATATTCAACTCACATATTTTTCTTCCTGTTTCCCTTCATCTGTCTGTCTCTCGCCTTATAAAAGCTGTCTCTCTTTATTTCATAAATTCCCTTTGGTTTGTTACTTAGGAGATCTGAAACCTCTAAATCCTCCTTTTCATCTCGCTGCTTCCCTTCTCCCTAGTCTCTATCCATTTCTCTTCCCTGCTATGCAAATCTCCTTCCTCCTTGTCCCACTTTCTGCATCTGTCTTTATCACTTTTTTCAATCATCTCTGTCTTCTTCATCCTCCTTTGGTCTTCTTACTCATAATTCAACCATAAACAACTAGTATATATAACAACATTTTCATTATTTTTTCTGTTACAGTCCTTGATGTGAAACAATCTCATTACATCTTTCACCTCTCTGTCTTTTCTTTGTTTTCTTCTATTTTTCTTCTTTTTTGGTTCTTTTGCTCTACTCCTTCCTTTCCTCCCACCCATCTCCATTTCATCCTTCCTCTGGTTCTCTCCAGAGATGGCGATGACGTCGGTCCTATTTATATTTAATGTCTTCAGCTTTCACTCTGCTGTGGATGGCGCTCTGGCTGCACCACCACGGCAGCGTATTTAATCTCTCTGCTCGCAAATACACAAATACAACTGTGTACATACATAGAAGCACATGCGCACAAAGAGTTACACGACCACGATATAATTAAAGACCATTTATGACTTGTAAATATCAGCGACAGGCAGGTGCACCCATCACGTCGCCATGGAAACTCTTCACTTCTCACTGAATGTTGGGAAAGCAGCATGTGAGTGAGTGTGTGTGCGTATTTAGCTGAAGAAAATGGCTGATTGTGACTGGGAAGAAAGCATGAATAGAGTCCACACTTTTTGTCATTTTTGTCACAACATAAAACTTTTTCATACTAATTTGCAATATGCTGCATAGTGTACAAATCTGCTATAACTTCTCCCTCTCATCCAGGTGATGCATGGCATCCTGCTTGGTGTGGGTCAGATCTTTGCCTGTGGAGCCCTGGGGCCCTCCCTTCTTATCCTGGGAGCTGTTCTGCTCTACTCCCCCCTGCTGGCTATCCATGCTCTGCTGGGATCGGCAGTTGGAACATTGGCTGGTGAGACTCCATCTGTGTGTTTGTGTGTCCCTGTGGGAGGAATGAGAGAGTTAAAAGTGGGGCTATTATTGTTTTTTTTTTGTAGGTCATACTGTACATGGTAAAGTAGAAAAGCATCAGTGTTGTGTTCCACAGACGTTTGACACAGATTGTAACTCTGACTTCACAAACAGGTTATAGTTGTTGTTTATTTGGTTAAACTAATCATTAATAAGTTTCAAATGAACATTTCAGTGCCAGTATCTCACTGTATAGGACTCCATCTTGGGTATTACTTGCAGGGAAACTCCCAAATTTGACATGTATATGTCAGTTTACTAGTCATGGGGAGTACTACTCAGTCTGTGAACACAGTTGTGTAATACTGTCCTCTGTGGCTCTGGAGGAGTTTTGTTAAGCCTGAGAAAATAACTTCTAATGATATCATCAGGGTGATCACAGCTTGGGCTCTGGGACAACATTTGTAACAAAAGGCCTGTAATACAAACTGAGCGTGGAGTGTGTTTACGATCCAGGAAGGATCTAACAAGTAGATGGTAATGGTTGTGTTATGTGGAGATCCAGCACCTTTAGAGCTTGACCCATATTAAGGAGTTTAAATCAGACTATTTTTGCAGCTGCTGTTTTGATTTTGAGCATTCTGTCTTTTTGTGGCATTTCTGTGCTTTTATTATGGACAGCAGAGATATAACAAAAAACAGGGAAGAGGGAAATGCAACAAGGCTCTCCAGCTTGAGTCAACCCCTAAAGCCATCGCAGCGCCCCCATTCTGTCTTTGAACCTGTCTCTTGTGAGATCTCCAACTTGGAAATCCATCCATTATCTACAGTCACTTACCCTGTGCAGGGTGTTAGAACATGTAAACTCCAAACATTACTGTAACTTAAATGTGCAAAAGTAAATTGCTGTAGTACCTTCAAAATATATGTTTCCTCTTGTTCCTACGGTCCTTCACTGTGCAGAGTGATTTATGTGCAGAGTTTGACACTAGAAGGATGTTTTCACAGTCATCTGATGAGAGTGGAAAGTTTCTCTGTGCTCATTGAAAATCTGATTTTAAGGGGCGGGGCTACAAGCATGACATCACAAATAGTCTGGAAGTCAAACCTGGTCCAGTATGCAACTTGTGCAGTGTGATGTAGACACTTGAAGCCACCAGTGCACATCCACTGAGAATGGACTCTACATGGAGTAGATGCCTTTTTAAGGATTTTAATGTGGAAATTATACTCGCAATACCATACTAAGCAAGATCATACTTGCTTTATGTGGTTACTGACACCATGCTCTGCAGTCATAGTTGCACAAGTCACCAACTGTCCTAATAGCATAATGCAGCATCACTAATCTTTGTCTAAGGCAGCAGTATAAACCTTATTAAACCATCAGCCAGGACCTCAAATAGATGGCAGGCTTAGCTCCCTGCATGGCATAAATGTTGAAATACAGTACGTTTTAACAAGGTTAAAGTCGGGTAGGTTTTATGAATCCCTCTGGCAATAAGACAATGTCAGCAGCGCATATGATATAAAACTGTGAGATAGGCAGAAGCAGCCTGTGGGCAGCTGCTCCAAAAGACACAGAGCAATTAGCCGGGGCATTGATAACGACTGGCTTATACACAAACACACAGGCCTGTGGCTGTGTGCGCCTTTTCCATCTGTGACTCTTTTCAGGGAGAGCGAGAACGAGAAATGCTAGAAGTTTAAAAGACTTCAGCCCCCTGCTTCCGTCTGCTGCTACAAGTACAATACAGTGTCCTAAAATATTTTGTGTGTCTGTGTGTGTGTGTGTGTGTGTGTGTTTGTAGCTATGAGTCATACTGTAAAAAAAAAAAAAAACAGCGGAGTGGGAGTGAGCTTGTGGATACACACACTGCACAAACCAGTGGACATTTGCTAACAGTGGCAGGTACATACACACACACTGCTGCAATAAAAACAACAGTGTGGCAAGAAAGTAATCAAAGAGATGTGATTGTAATGAGATTGTGTAGGCAACAGAACAGAGTGGAAACGGCCTGCTGGAGCATGGCAGTTCAATGCATAAGAGCAGCACAGCAATCAGGAACTCTATTCTCTCATTTGTAAATTCTTTCTTCCTTCCTTCATCCTTTCTTCCTTCCTTCCCTTTACATTGTACAATCCATGTTTTCTCCAGTGAGTTTGTTTTATCTAACTCAGGATTTTAGCCAAAATTAAGCTATTTGTAGCATTCATAAATGTTGAAAAAGTCAGCCATGCTTATATTTCTTTAACTAGATGCTTTAATTCAGAGTTCCACCAGATGTTCTATCTTCCCCAAATGTAAAATGTGAGCCTTTTAAACTAATCCCATGGGAGAAGGGTATATTGCATTATGTCTTGCTGCTCTTTTGTGGTTTCCTTCCAGTTTAAGCATTCATTTTGTTATTTTCAATGTCTGAAGAATGAGGCTTGTAATAATTCTATACATTTCTTATTGGCAACAAAAAAAGTATTGTCTGCGTATCCAAAGCCTGAAATATTTTATTCCTTTGCAGCCTATTCTCCAAAAACTAAAAACACATCAACGGGCCACACTGCTGTACTGGGTGAAAAGTTCCCTCATCACAATGCACATGGCCACTGTAGTGTATTTGGAGTAAATCACACAGACTTGCTCACTAGGGTACCAACCTAGTGTGTGCTAATCCACAGCTGAAAATACTAACCAACAAATGCACTGTAATCCTGTTTTAGTTATGTTTGCTTAAAACTACAGTGCCCAGCTGTTTCAGGAAATTATTTAACCTTTTCAATTTATAAAACTGTATCATTTTAACCCTAACCCTACAGTTTAGATACTGTATGTTAGTCCTCTATAATGTGCTGTGTAGCTTGAGATCCTCAGGTAGGTGTCATCTGGGGTCATTCTGAAAAGGCTTCCTTGTTTTTGCATCGCATGTTAATGAATTCAATATCTCCTTTTGAATTTAAAATTCTGAAATGTAGAATTTCTATTGGTATTATTTGTTTTTACCTTGTAGTTGCCTATTATATTCTTATTCGCATTAGTGTTATTTTCTTTGTTGTTAGTCACTTTGAAACTTTGTTTGGAACAATGTGATGAAAAGGTCTGTTATAATCACTTGTGTTGCTGTTATTATAAGCACAATCTGGACGTTTGGTGTTGTTAGATGCATATTATACCATGGAACTTAGTGTACCGGCTGCCCTGAATAAATGTAAATTCACTCACACACACCCACGCACAGAAACAAATGAAGCTGCGGCACACAGTGAGATAGTTAAGACTGTGAATAAGTGCTACAAGGTCAGATTCAAAACTTAATCCTGCCTGACAGAGACCTGGAGGGAAAAAGAAAGATCAGTGTCAGGAGACAAAGAACAAAGTGTCAGATGAAGATGGAAGAGGAGAGAAAAGGGATAAAGAACTGACAAGGAAAAAGAAGAGGGGGCATAAATTGAGGGAAAGACAAAAAGTGCCAGAGAGAGAAGGAACAAAAGGGAAAGATGCTAATAAATGTATCAGAGTAGAAAAGAGGACTCAAGAGGTTCTGACAATATGTGTCCACTTGTGTGTATTGAACTGACACCATCCTCTCCAACACGGGCACAAGTTGTGCCCCTGGCTCTCTCTTTCTTCTCCTGTCTTACGTCCCCTCCATGAACAGCCCTTTCTTCTTCTTCTTTCTTTCTTTATCTCTTTTAATCCTTTCTTCTTATTAGCTTTCAAAATTACTCCTCATTCTTTTCACTTGCACCACTCTCTCCACTGCTGCTCTGCATTCATTATCCTTCAGTGCCTACAAAATGCTGAGTGTACAGATACTCTGGTTCGATTTCAGGAAAGAAAAGGTGTGTGTGTGTGTGTGTTTGATGTCATTATCAACCTTTTTCCAAAGGCAAGCGGCATGTCATTAGCTAGCTTATTTTGTATTTTAGGACTGGAACATTCATGTGCTAGGATATCAGAGTTTAGAGCAATGTTAGCAGCCATGTCCTGGGGAGGTTTACGTGCCAGACACACCAGCCCATCTTGCGTTAAATAATTTAGTGTTACTTTTGCCACATTCATAGGTTATCCAGCAAATCTATTCTCTTGTAAAAGTAAATCATACTGCAAACATTATATCTAACCATTGTGTTGCTTGTCCAACTACGTTTTTCTATAGTAAGCTTTCAAAGCATCCCTGGGTTATATTATAATAGTGACATTTTATTACATTGTTATTCATAATACTGTACTATAATGGCTAACAACCTCTAACCTGCATTGCGCAAACAATGTTTCCTTGTCTTCTAATGTTTGTAAGACCCTTTTACAGCCTTCCTGGCTTAAATCAAATCAGCTGGAAACACTAAAAACTCTTCTGAAGACCAGGATTTCCAGCATTAGGTGACACAAGCTAGCTCCAACTGATCAAATCTGCTAGTGACGACATGTTTTTCTCAGACAACAAAATCCATGGTCACTAATTATAGAAACGAGAAGGCTGCTTTTGTTTACTTATTTGTGAAACTGAAGACCCGTTTCAAACATGACTGCGACTGCATATGTGCCATGTGACAATAGAAAGCTTGAAAGGGAAGCCTGAGTGACTGTTCAGGTATCGCCACCGTCATCTTTGTCACCAGTCGTCATCATTATTTTCCTAATTGTTATGTCTTTAATTTAATAACATCATCAGCACATTTAATGTTGTCAGCATCATCGTTATCCTCCTTGCCCTCATCCTCGTCTTTAGCCCTATCCCTACCTTTACTGTCATCATCTTCATTAGTTTATTGTTTCCATCATCATTACCATTCTCCATTTCTCTCCATTATTTTCCATCACTGTCGTGATCGTTTTTTCCATTCACCACCATCAGAATAGCTTCCAATTTAAGTATTACCACTGTCATCTCAATCACGTCCGATAAGGATAACGCTGAGGTGAGAGACCAAAGGCAGGCTGACAGCTGATGTTTAGACATGTGTGGATCCTGACAACAGGCAGGGGAAATCACTTCGGCTCTCTATGAGTAGTCAGCCCCTTAATCATCACCTCTTAATTTCTACTTTGTCTGTGAGAAGGAGCGAGAAAGAGACATGAAGTTCGTCTGGGACAGGCAGAGTGTGAGGCCATATCTAGAGCTTTCACTCAAATCCCACAAGGGGTTTCCAGAGGAGGAGATCAGGGGCTGTATGTAGGCCAGAGCCTCAACCTCCTGCTGCATTCATGTTATAGGAGAATAATTGTCGAAATGCTTTAAAGTGAGATCAAATACAGGAGGAAAGACGATGTGAGGCAGTTGGAGAAGTCATCTGGGGTTCACTGCTTAACTCGGAGGTCTTTTAGTAGCTTTGTACTTATGATGTGAAAACACACATAAATATATATTTTCAAGTAAGAATGTCACAAGTGCTATCTCTGGTGTGACAGGCGAGGGGAAGAAGAAGCAGAGGCTCTCGGTCTTAGAAAGAAAGTATTCTTAGGAGAGAGATTATGACCTGTACTTCACCGAAATGTTGTAATACAACATAACACTATAACACTTAAGCCATGGCCATGTGCGTGTTACATAACAGGCCTTAAGACAGACGGGGGGTATATTACATTTCACCACTGAAGACAAGCAACAGACGGAAATTCCGATCATCCTCCAGCCTGTTTTACTGAAAAACACCAGTCCAGATGTGTTCATTAACAACAGCAATACCTAACTGTACTTTGTGTTAAGTGCTAATTAGCGAGTGTCAGCATGCCTGCTGAACCTCAGCATGTTAGCAGTGTCATTGCAAGATTGTTAGCATGCAGACATTAGCATTTAGCTCAAAGCACAGCTGTGCCTTAGTACAGCGTCACAGAGCCCCTAGCATGGCTGAAAATAATGATAATGTTAACACTCCACTGTCTGTACAATAGGTTAAATAGATGTGTTATATAGCAAGAATTTAACTCCTAAAAAGAGAGAATAAATTCATCGAATTAATGGTAATCCTAGGAGGATAAAGCACAAACATGAAATTCTTAGTACATATGATTAGAAGCATTCACAAAGAAAGAGGATTGTAGAAATAGGCCTTTACAGCATCTGAAATGAGGCTGGTACTGGTACTAAGAAATGCTGGTGGAAATGGAGACACACAAAGTGTTTTTTCTCTGCATGGATAGAAACAAACCGTTCCCTCTCCAGCTCATTCTGCTGATATCTGGACAGTGTTAACAAATGAGCCCACATAAAGAGCAATCCATTTAGCTGCATCCACAGACAGTTTTTCTCTCAAAGGCATCAAAGGACAGAATAATGGATTCACCAGCTGAATCAAGAGCAAAGGCCCAAATGCAAAGTTAGCCATTAACCACACTGGAACACTGGAAAACAAGTCATTATGTACAGTTCATTTCAGTTGTTTAGTCCAACCTATTGCTCTAGCCTCCATTTAGTCTGCACATACTCACTGTGGTATGATGCAGGCAGCAACTGGAAAAGAGGAGAGGAGATATTGGGTTTGATATGATAAAAGCTCTCTGACTCATTCTATTAGCATAGTCAGCATCACACTGGGAGTGACTCACACACACACACATAGTAGAAAAACAGTAAAACATTTAGGATCCTCTGGGGCCCCCCCTCCCACATTGCCATTAGTCTTTAATGACACTCTTATTGGGGAAAGGAACTAGGGGAGCAGAGAGAGAGACAGAGGCTGTGATGAAGGAGGCAAGGAAGGGAATGAAGGAACACAGGGCAAACGGTGACAGTGAAGAGGAAGATGGAGAGGAGGATAATGAAGTGTGGAATGAGGAAGAGATGAGTGCAGAGAGAGCCGGAGCGTTTAAAAACAAAGAGGGTTGATGTGAAAAAGGTACGACAAACAGAGGGTGGAAGGAGGGGGGGGGGATGTCAGAGAGAATAGCCCAGCAGACACAGAGTGAGGAGGCAGCACTGGGGTGTGGTCAGTCTGCTTCAGGACCAGACTCGCTAAACTGCAGCCTACAATGCCTGGTAATGAGAAAATCAATCACAGCGCACCCCGAGGGTCATTTATCTACAGAGGAGCTTCCAAAATTTACTGTAACTGCAGATGAATTCTTTGGAAAATCCTGCAGTATTAATACGGGGGAAGGTGCAGGGTGGAGCAGCTGCAGCGGTGGCTAACAGCATGAATGATAACATTTATACTGTCATTTTAGTCATCTTTTGTTTAGCATACATTTCCAGCATGGCTACTATGAATTTTAGAGTTTTGAAACGGCGTCTTCTAACCAAAATGCGACAATTCAATATGTTGTGATATGCAGATGTAACCAGGCTATTGAGCAAAGGATAATTCCTTCACCCAGGAACACATACAGCTTAGTGCACGTGTGTGAGTAAATAATATATAGCTGTTAAAGCAAATAGTGGTGGGCACTCTCCTGCACAGTCAGACGGTGCTCAGTAATTTTTTATGATATTGCTATCACTCAGAAATGTAAAAATACACAATTTCTGCTTTCAGGTTGATGCTCCCACAAAGATAAGCATTGTATATAGCGATAAAACAGTCGGTAAGCAGTTTTAAAGCTCATGCCTTTCCTAAGCTGAGCAGTGTCAGCTGCTCTGGGTGGGGCTACAGGATGACCTTTTCTTACACACACAGATGCAGTGTTGGTTGGTGTGCAGCAAAAAGCAAAAATGAAAGTGCGATTTATTGACAACGTTGATTCCAACTGCACATGCTTAGCTTAGTTTATTAGGTAACGCTACACCAACATCCGTGCAATACATCCCGTCTTTGTGAATTATGATGTGTTTTTTTGTGTCGGAGAGGAGTTGGTTCAGCTGCTGTCTATTTCTAAGGCTGTAGTGAATGTTGTATTGGACTCCATGGATGTACATGAGGGGGACCACATACATTGCTATCTCATTTTGTGTTTACTCACACAATAAACAAAACACGCACATTTAATCAGAAACAAATGAGAGAGAATGTAGCAAGAGGAACAACTCTGTAACAAACAAAAAGCTTCAGGTTCTGAGAAACTACCGACATCCCTGGACTGCCTCTTTGACTAAAGTGGAGGTGGAGGTTCGTTCACTCGAAGGATTTTGACTCTTAACTTGACTCCTCCAATGTCATCTCTGCTGAAGGAACTTAGCTGACTTTAGTATATTGTATAAGTATACTGTAGTTGGTTATATTTGGTTATGATGTAGTTGGTTATATTTGCAATTTTACTCTAGCAACATTCCACTCGGTCAAGTTTCCATCCAAATTTATCACAAACTTCTCAAGTGAATTTCAAAAAGATTGACAAAAGAAAATGTGAATGAATGTTTGTGTCCATCCATTACTGTTATGCAAATATGAGGAGTCGGTTGCATCAAGGTAAAGAGTTTGTGCTGATTCTTGCAGAAGAGTCAGTCAAACCTCACACGAATGAGAACAATGTGGAAAATATGACATTTCTTTGTTTCATACATTAATTTGAGGAAGGTTACTGTCTCCTCTTCCCTCCACACAAAATGCACATTAAAACAATTGGAGGGAAACTCATTTATTGAAGAGCACCTTAACAGCTCCTCAAAATTATATTTTTGCTCATCTCCAGTGGTTAAACTTCTTACGCCAGCTCCAGTCTACTGCCTCCAGGGTGTGGCAGTACACTGTGATATCTCGTTGGTTATAGGTGCAACAGAGCAGAGCCCTGACCCCACCCATCAGTGATGCTGGGTTTCATCAGAGGTGCAACAAGCTTGAGCCCGAGGGGGCAGAACAAAAACAATTTACTGATTTTAAATATTTCAAAGTAAAGCAAAGCATCATATTGCTTGTCGATTCTGAATGAATCTTGCTGGCCTTTGCAGCTGAACTCCGTGGCCCTACTCCTTCTGATGTCATTGTGACTTTATTGTTATTCTCCCTCACGTGTGGGTTGAAAGACACAGTGCAGCTGCTGCTGAAGGCCAGCAGAGAAAAGGTCACTGCCTCTGGCCCTGAAGAGATGTATCTGGGCCAGCATGCCCACTGTGCAACAGTCTGCATATAGCTTCACAACATAGTGTCTATTCAGTACGGTTGTGAGTCAGGGGCGAATGGTGTTCATCCACCTACCACCTAACATATTGATACTGAAGCTGTTCTTGTGAAATTGAATATGATTATTATGCAAATAAAAAAGGGGAATAACATGACAATTACATAAGTTAAAAGCCTCCTGAGAGGTTCTTAGTCCAATGTGAAACCACTTATTTTAGTGCAACTCAGGCTCAGTAAAGACACTGACACAGGCAGGGTCTCAGTCAGCACTTCCTCTACCCAGCCCTGCTCGCCATCATCAAATACTGGCTGAACACACACAGTCTTCCTTGGAAAAACCATAAGTGCAAGAGGCAAAGCAGACAAATTACACCTCAGTTCTTCCTCAGTGGCGCATTATATGCTGTAAACACTGTTACACAAGACTCCAAACAAACAGTGTGCTAGTGGCAGCACTGAAAACAAATGATGTTTTAGCAGGGGTTAACCAAAAGGTCATCTTCCATGTTGGACCAGATATTCATATTCCCTATATGAAGATACCGGGGAACACAAAGGCAACGTCAACATATTTCCTTATTAGGTTACACGCAAACCGAAGTGTGAACCAAAGGCAACCATCTAACAGTTTGTGTCTAGCACCACCACGTGGATAAATGTAGTAGAGCAGTTCTACACTGTGTTTGTTTTGTTGTATATTTCTGCCTGTGTGATTCCCTGATCAGCAGTCAGTCATTGGTTTTTGTCATCAGACTTAAGATTTAACTCTCACTGTGTGTGTGTGTGTGTGGCACAGGTTTATCCATGGCAGTGCGTCATGGTTCTTTGTACTCAGGTTTGTCAGGGTTTAATGGAGCTCTGGGCTGCATGGCTGTTGGAGGACTCTTCTTCACCTTCAGCTGGAGGACCCACCTCTTTGCCATCGCCAGCGGTGACACACGAGCACACGCACACAGACATTGTTGCTATCTTTTGTTCGAAGCGCTTAATGATTAGTGATCTAACATGAAGCTTTTCCATCACAGTTTTAGTACAGAGGGAACAAAACACTGTGCAAAAACAAAATTGGCCACGTTTTCTAAGGTTATTTTGTTTGTGTAGTTTTCGTCCTACTACCCTTCAAACAACCTGACCTCATTAGTCAGACAGGTTAGTTATTTTTTGCATTAAATCATTGTATATAAATATCCTATTACTTTTAGGTTACATGCCCTTTTCACATTTTCCCAAACTTAATAATATAACTCAATATGGATTTTAAAACCAAAGAAACTCATACAAAACATTCATCCCCATACTTTTTAATCTTTAAACACATCTTCTGGAGACTAACTGGTCTCCAGTGCTCTCCCTTGTAATTTCGGCTGAAATGAAACTCTTTTTATGAGACCCTTGTTCCAATGAAACCTTTTCAGAAATGCACTGGAGCCAATCAAACAAGGCTCATTTTCCTAGTTCTAACACAGTAGACCCCAGACAGTTTACACGTGACTCTCACAGTGTTACCTGCTTGTGCAACATGCAGCTTGTTGTGAGTTCATGTAATTTGTCGGAGCCCTTTGAGTACCTGAGATGTCACTTGCTGCATCACTGCTCCTCTCAGTAAATCATGAATTAATTAATTCCCCATGTGAATAAATCACATGATGAATCACACATTCTTAAGGAGGTAAATGACTACATACAGTCAGAAAATAGGTAAATACCACACATGAGCTTATTCAACCGGCTCATTTTACTGTGCTGGGACTTCATATGTTTCCATAAATACAGTATTTCCCCTTCCCCATCATGCGTACAGTTTACATCTCTTTTTTGCATACTACATACTACTTATGTGAGCTCTTTTTGCTCTTTCTCTTCACCAAATGGCTGTAATTGCAGAAAAGAGATTAATAATTCTGCAATTTTGTCCATTCAAGCTTGATTTACTTGATCTATTTAGACTGGGCCTCCCTCTGCTTCCACTCATGGATACAGACAAACTGACAAAATGATGCACATGTTCTATCTCACTCATGCAACACATCTGAAATTACAACTGGAGCACCATGGGCATTAGTGCTGACCAGTTTGACAGGGAGCTAATCAACTCACATTAGGTAAATTGTCCCTAATTGGAGCTTCCAGTGTGTCTCATATCTGGACTGACTGCAGCTAAACTCTGTTCCAGCAACCTGGAGAAAGATACTGGGTGAGTGTTTAGAGGATATATTTAGCCTAATGTCTTCTCCTCTGCCCGCAGCCTTCCTCTCTGCATATGCTGACATTGCTCTGAGCAATCTGCTGGGAACTGTAAGTACACACACCTCAAGCCAAGTGTGTATGACGCAAAACAACAATTTTCTTTCATTTTGTATACTCTGTAGAATAGACACACAGAAAACAACAGTGATGTCCATTTGAAATATATAGTGTATTGCTACATTACTTCAGGGTATGACACATTCGCTGCATGGCAAAAAAGAAAGCAGGATTCTCAACCAGTGTGTTTCACTCTGGTGTTAAATTTCAGTTTGGTCCATTTAACAGCAGCTTTATCATAAGGCAGTTGGGCTGTTGTATCATAGACCTGTCACTCCACATGAAGAAGACCATTTTATTTTATTGGTCCATTTTATTTAGCTTAATCTTACCTGGAATAAACTGCAGGTGCACAGGAGTTACTTATTTTTCCCACAAAGCAGCCATTCCTGCAAACTATTTCAAATATTACTGTTTGTCTTTTATACCTTCATCAGAGCAGGAAGAGTAGGATAATGCTATAACTCTTGTACATGTATAGAGCTTGTTCTCACTCAAACTGTCTGACTCACTTCACTCTCTCTCTCTCTCTCTCTTATGCATTATTACAAACCCTATCTTTACCTAGGTTGGTCTCCCAGCATGCAGTTGGGCAGCTACTCTGACAGCCACGCTGATGTTGCTGCTCACCGGCAGTCTATCAGCGTACCGCATCCCTATTGGTCAGGTCAAGGCCCCTGAACGCAACATGCGCTCCCGCAGCCAATGGGAAGCTGGGAACACCGTAGAAAGGGAGAGCACTGACGTGTAACACTAGTTCAAGTTCACACACTCAAGTTCACACACTGAGTACTGTATCAGTACTTTGAACTTCTGAGTTGGATAACACTGATACATGTTTGATATAAACATGTTATAAATTAGGGCTGCATGATATGGTAAAAACATCGGTTATTTTGATATTGCGATTCATGACAATTTGGGAATTTTTGCATCACACATTGAATTTTCATTTTAAAAAAACTATTAGAATCCGGATAATGTGACATCTTTGGGGGTCTGTTTTCTTCTTTCTTAAATCTGGAGAACGAGATCTGTAAACCAGGGCAGCACTGCAGGACTTCATTAACATGCTGTTTTGTCACACATTCTACCTTTTATCAAAACATTACAGCTCTTGCTATTTGCATATTGCACTTGTACTTGTACTTGCACTGGTATTTCCATCATTTTCAATTATAGTACAGCCCTATTACAGATTTTTAGATATACACTCGCATTTCACAGTATGTCCACAAGGTGGCAATGTATGTTCAGCAATAAAATGTTGAAAATGTGACTGTGTCTGTATACCAACCATTTCTATTAAATATATACAATTTTCATCCAAGTTTTATCCATGCTTTTTGCCACGTTATTCGACACATAATATAAAAAAAGCCAAACAGAACAGCCAATTTAAAGGAAAAGAAAACGTCTTTTATTTGCCATGAAATCCACAAGTCAGTTCAATAAAATCATTCATTGTTAAAATGACAGTCTAACTGCTATTGTCAATAAAAACACAGACTGAATTGAACAGTAATTATTTTTAACCCCCTCATTACCCTGCATAGACATACTACATACCACTCCACTGGAACTGATTGTAAAAACAGACTGTACACGTACCTCAGTGCAGGCAGACAGTGGGACAATGAGTACACACAGACAATGTGTTTCTGTAATCAGCTGCTTAGGCCAGCCAACTGTTATCATTATTGTTATTATTATTATTATTATTATTATTATTATTATTAATACTAATAAATTAAAAAACTCTCCAATGAAAAAGTGAAGGTGTTTAGCTGTGGTTCATTATTCAGTCCTTCCAGGATTATGCAGCCTTCTTTTTAGGGATTGAGGCATAAAAGGCTTGATTTCACAGCAGATTTTCAGAATAATTGCGATGCGTGTTGAGCTGTCTTTAGGTTGTTTTTTTGTGTGGGGGGGGAAGTGAAAATTGGAAAAATAGTTGTAATTTAATTTTGTATAATTCATAAAAAAACAAAGGCAACTTGTTCCAGTGGGAATATAATGGCTCGTAGTTTGGTGACGCGCTATGATTGGTGGAACCCGCAGGAAACTACAAAGATTGGTCACATTGCTGTTACTGGACAGAAATGCAAGGTCGGGCAGAATTCACAAGGATTGGTTGAGTTTGCGTTAAATGTTGCGATCGCAATTTCCTGGAGGAACTGATTATTACACTTTTTCCACAGTGCTTCAAGTTTATTTTTATTATTTTAATGTACATTTCCAATCAACATCTATATTCCCAAACATACACACAAGTCCACATTCACACACAAACCACACAGCCCAGTCTAATGTCAGAAAATATCAAAGCATATTAAATATTAAAAAGATTATTTTCTTTTTTCGTACGTACACTTTCAGACACAAACAATAACGTCTTTTCTAAACATTTTTCTTTGCATCATGCATTTCTACCTCAGTGCTTGTAGGATTTTTTTTGTCTACATCATTTTCAGTTCTGGGACTAAATAATTTTTATCATGAACTACCTCACAAACAATGGTGATGAGGTTGGTAACAATTAGAAACACACAAAAGTGGCTCTCAGTCTGTGATTGATAAAGCATAATAAAAAGAAAAGAACAAAAAAGTAGAAATATAAATACTTGCACAACCAGTACTTGTGTCTTTTAAGCTGCATTACAAAATAATGAACATTCGTAGTTCTACGTACTTTCAGTTGAAGATTTCATCAGGAGTGCTGTTGTGCTTCTGTTAGCATGACTGTGTGTGCATGCGTGTATATTTCTGTGTATGCCTGTGTTCATTGTGGTTCAGAATAAAGGCAGAATGACACACCTGTCTGAATTGGCATGTTTGCAAACACACACACACACATCACGTACAAAGTACCCACACATACACCATACATACTCACTGGTGATGTTTACAGTGTCTGACAATAAAATTAGGGAGAGGTATCTATTATATCCAATTGAACCCAGTGTAAACTTCAGATAAGTGTGTGTGTGTGTGTGTGTGTGTGTGTGTGTGGTGTGGTGTGTGTGTTAAATGTTTGTCAATAAATAAATTGTTTTTCTGATGAATTTTAGCATGCATGCGCTTGCTTTTTGCTAAGACTTTATAGCTATAACAGCTGAGGAAAAGTTCAATAAAGAAATCTTCATTAATGTAGCCATGTTAGAGCATTCCATTGAAATGATAAGCCTATGTTTGTGTTTATGTCAGTATATACGTAATCCTACTTCGCGAACAGTCACACAATGTTTTGTTCTTCATGCATGTAAACATTCATCTAATCTAAGCGAGTGTAAACAGTGACGCTGTGCCTGGGTCCAGTCTGGTGTTGGCAGCCTCTATTTAACCGACAGGACAGCAGCTAGAAAACAACATCCAGACTTTTAAGAAGAAATATTGTTCATGAACGAAGCAGAGGGAGCAGAGTACAAGATCAGCTGTAGCAGCTTGAACCCTGGTTGTGTACAGGAGGGGATCATAGTCTGACATTTAGGGAAGGAAATGCCATTATTTGAGTTAGACAAGAAGATCAATACCACTCTGTCTATGGCAAGTATGATGCTATAAGCAGAAGGAACGCTACTCTGGCTCAAACAACAAACAAACAAATTCCTCCTACCAGCACCTTTAAAGCTCTAAAGAGTACCACGTTATATATCGTTCTGTACACTTGGCCGCTTGGGGCACAAACTGTGAACACATTACTAGCATATTATCACCTTTTATGGATGATATAGAGAACATGGTAGCAAACGGTTGCCTGCTTACACATCCAGCTGGTACAGAGCAACATTATCATTCATTTCAAGTCATGTTTCTGGACACCTGGCAAATATTCCAATATTCACTCTCCTTTTAGCTCTGTTTTTGGTAATATATTGATATTATAGCTGCTTTAAAAAAAAATACATGTGTGAATAATGACACAGAGGAGATGTTGTAGCTGTTGTGATCTACTGATCTGCTCCCATCTCAAACTATTCTGTTGTTTACTTCCTCTTACCTAGACTAAATCTTGTCATCTGTAGCCAGGGATGGAATCCAAGAAAGATTAGCACAGCTCTGCTGAAGGTTTAAACTCTCAAAGCTTATTTTATATTTGTAAATCCCTCAGAAATCTCTGGGTTCATGCCCATTACTGCCACACAGACTCAAAGGAATCCAGGATTGTCCCTTAAAAAAAGGGTTTTCTCTCTTGACGGAGAGATTACAGATCCTTCTTCTTTACAAAGATTAGCCTGCTGTTCTAACATCTTTCTGTGTGTGTAAGTGCCTCTGTGTCTACTGTATGGGTGCAAAGTGTTGCAAAGTGTATTTACGTGTGTGTGTTTGTGTGTGTGTGTGTGTGTGTGTGTGTGTATGTTCAGAGCAGCCTCCCCAGCACCACTCCCTCTCTGCTCCTTGCTTCTCCTCTGAGGATCTCAAGGAAGCCCAGTTTTGTCAAGAACTCCAGCCTCTGGCGGTCTGTCGGCTGCACCTCACAGAACACACCCTGAGATCCTACACACACACACACACAGGAAAGAAATAAAAGATGTGAGTCTCACTCTCCAGCTGCATAGAAAAAAGCAAAAAACCAAAGTCAGAGGTTCATATAAAAACAATGAACCATACAGAACTAGAGTTGGTCTGAGGTATCCTGTCATGAAACATTTAAAAAATGCAGGATTTCAACATTCAGGGTGAACATCAGCTTCCCAGTAGGCAGGCAAATAAATATTTTAGGACTACTGAACTTCATGGTGGGAAAACATCTATAGGCAGCTTGACACTTGACCTATGCTCACATTAATCGAGTGTGTTATTGGTGTTAAGACACTGTTCAACCCTTCATCCTTCTTCTCCACACACACACACACACACACACACACACACATACTTACCGTTGGCCTTGAGTGCAGTGAGGAGGGCAGTGAGCAGGGTGCGGCTGACGCTGATGTCCACCAGCTCAGGCAGGGCGTCCAGTCGCAGCTGAGAGGGGAAGTGGTAGAGGAGAGAGTCTGGGTACTCTCCCTGGTCTTCCTCCATCAGCTGGATCAAGTCCTACACAGAGTAAAGCGGAGACATTGTCACAATGTGCTGTGGATGTTAAGTCTTTTGTCAACAGCTCTATGTTGTTGTAGTTTCCAACAGCTGCCACTAGATGTTACTAAAAGGCCATATTTGACTGAATACACCTTGTACAAACTTATTAGACCGAGGTACTTTCGAGTTACCCCAGCAACAAACAGACAGTATGAAGACTAGTCATCACCATACATTCAGATTTCACCGAATTTGATTTTAGCGTACATTCAACGCCTTATAACCTCAACAGAGTCTCTGCTGTAATCACAGCTTGCTAGCGAGGAGGTTTTCTCAAACTAGTTTTCGAGTCATAAAACATATTAAGACAGTAAAGTAACAATAAACTTAGGGTAATAACTAATTGCATGACACACTGGTGTTCTGTTCCTATGTCTAATAAAGCAGGAACAGATACCGTTCAAACACTGTTTGGCCAATGCAACTTTGATTAACAGTAAATCCTTCAACTGGAAAACTTCGACCTCCATACACCTGTGCCTGCAGTGTGGCTGATAGTCATCCAAAGTAGGACTGCGCACCATGACGCACAGAGTGGGCAGATGAATCCACCACAGATGTCAAGGACTGACTGTCCCCGTTGCTCACCACCGGCTCTGTTTGGCTCTTAGCCGAAGATCACTCAACTGTTTGTCATGGTGGGCAACAGCAAGACTATAGCCGAGCCTCCGGTGCTCAGCGTATCTTATCAGTAAAGTCTTGACTGATGCTTACCCCGACCATAACTATCATCTATTCCTGCTGTTAAGTCACGGTTGCACTACAAGCACCTGGCAACACAATTTTTGTATGCTCACGTGGTGCGCTGCTGATGAGGAAACTAGAACCCCATAGTAATGTGGAGAGGTGGAGAGAGAATGTTGTAGGTGGTGTCTACATTTCTGTCCAGTCTGTGTGAGTGTTAATCTGCATGTGTGTGTCATTTGCTTTGTTTGTGTGTGCCACCCACCTCCCAGTGAGTTATTAATCCGTCACAGAGGGATCCAGATGGTGTAACTGTAGGTGCCGATATGTCTAAACATTTCACCTGTGTGTTGGGTGTGTCTATAACATGGTTACAGCCCTGTGCCCTTCATAATGACAGAATAATCATTGTTATTATTAGTGATATTAGAGACTCCACATATTCACCTGTGTGTTGGAATGTGTGTTGCCCCCTTTGGATGGGTACTTGTCCCTCATGGCGGGCATCCAGCTGGCCTGGCACCGCTTGGCAAAGGAGCGAACATCCAAGATGCCCAAGACACAGCCACACACACCCAGCTCATCCTCTAGGATGAAGCTGTACTCAGGGCACAATGCCAGGCATGGTCCGAGACATCTACGGAAACGAAAAGAAAATATGTGAATATAGAATTCTAACGTGGTAAATTATTAATGTGGAAGTGTTTTGCAATGCAGACAATTCCTCTATCTCCTTTCTTTCTCTGTCTCAAGAACACACCTGTCTCCTATGACATCTGGGTGAGCAGTACTGGACTCTTGGCCACCCTGAGTCCTCAAGTGGAGTTGGCGAACCATACGATACAACTCCACCTACACACAAAATCATTATTGTTTGGAGATATGGCAGTGCCCCAGTCCATTAGGCCATATGTTTCTCAAAACCAGAGTGTATATGTTAAACTATAGATCGATAGATGACTGAACAATCAGGATCCTTCAAAAACTTTGTATAATTTTGCAGCATTTCCCCATATAAGCTTCCTACTGTGGTCTGACTGAAAAGTCCATACATTTCCCACAGCTTTCCAACACTTGGTCAGAGTGTCTAAAGCCTAAAAATCTTCCTCCTTCCTGGTTTGGTGACAAGGAAGTGTCTGGTGAATGAATTCAACAGTAGTACAATAATAAAATAAGTAATTAAAAACTGCAGTTCCTTGAATGACCTTTATCCTGGCATCATGTGTGCAACAGTAACGTGTGGGTGTGACTTCTCACCTTGTCCTTGCCATGGTAGGGCCTGATGTTATAGAGACGAGAGGTAGGGAAGAGAGGAGGAGGATGAGTGAAGAGATCATTGCTGCTGCCTATTGGGAGAAGCATCTACACACGAAAAAAACACACACGTAGGCAGTTATAAGCATATTGAACTTCAACAGCACATATTATTATGAATTTAAGAACACAAGCAGGCACAATAACAGAACAAGACAAAATCTATGGAAAATGTTATACCTGCACCTCCCCAGACACGCCCCCTTTGAACACCCATGGCTCTGACTCCATTCCCAGTAGGTCTGCCCCTGTGGACTTCCCACACCCTACCACAGACAAGAACCAAATGTCAGTCCGGTGACATCGTCTGGTGAGGGCCAATGGAATGCCAGGAAACATGTCAGTGCAGATGGAAACTGGTCGCACAGTTAAATCAGCTTTTAAATATTCATGCTGGCATAAAAGTTTAGTGTTTTACAGCATTACAGCTCCTCAAGAGATGTTGGCTGAAATTAACTACTTCATTTTTATGCTAGCGCCATAAATATTTGAAGCATGACTGCTGGTTCAGTCCTCAGTGCACCCATATCTGCTGTAGCTTCACGAAGCTAGAAGAGTTATAGCTACTGGATGTTGGGTTAATAGAACATTGTCAGACTAATTTTAATTTGGATAATAATGGTTTGTGCAGCAGTGGTTGCTTGTAGTTTGTTATTTCAGGCATAGACATGGAGACCAAGAGTTCAAAGTTCATGCCTACTCACAGTGGAAGCAGTTCTTCCAGGTGCCCAGGGTGGAGCTGTCACTCAACACTCGTCCATCTGAGTGAGATAGATGAGTGGGTGGGGTTAGTTTATAGTATATATTATATTATATTATTATAACATAGCATATTACTGGTATACTATACTTTACTATACCACATTATACTATACTATACTATATGCAGTATTATTGAGTAGTATAGCATAACATACCATTGCTTTACAGCACTATACTATACTGTGCTATGTTATTCTATAGGGTAGCATACTACATACTGGCATACTACACTATACTATACTGATATACTATACAATACTACTGTATATTATACTGTACTATATATAATGTTTGTAGGCTATACCATACTATACTATACTCAACCATACTATAGGCTATGTTATCGTATGCTATAGCATAGAATAGTATGATATTATATTAGGTAATATATTATATTATAGTGCTATAATACTGTGCATCTCTGACTTCCTGTTTTATTTAGTAAACTTCCCCTCTTCCTTAACTTTCACTTCCTGTCAGTTCTCTCCAGTTTAGATTGTCCGTCCCTGATTATTTTTTCCTGTGTCTCATTATCCTTCCCCTCACCTGTGTGTCTTAGTTAGTCTTTGTGTTCCCTTGTTTCTGTGTCAGTTCGTCCTGGTTGTTCTGTCCCTGGTTGCTTTGTCCCCTGTTGCCTTGTTAGATGTTTTTACTTTTGCTTTTGCCAGTATATGTTTACCAACCTGTCTACCTGCCTGCCTACCTGTACCTGCACCTGCCAATTTAGCTCAATTTATTTTGAATAACTCATAATCCTGCTGCTGTCTTGCACAGGGTCTCTGTAAATATTTTTGTAAATAAAATCTAGACCTGCTATATATATAAAAAAAGTGTTCTGAGATAACTTTTGTAATGATTTGGCGCTATACAAATCCAATTTAACTGAACTGAATTAAAACTTGATAATACCATACTATATTATAAGCAAAGTATAATAGGATATCATACTGCTAGTATATCATTGTTCCCATGTCACTGGGGCAGGGAGGGCATCTGGTGTAAAAAGCCTATGCAAAATCGAATATGCAGATCATCACATCTCCATGCTGGGTTGGGCAAGGCCCAGTAGTAGTAGAATCGATAGCATAGTAGTAGCATATTATACAGTAGTGAAGTAAAGTAAAACACATGATATTATTCTGTATTTTCATAGTTTCCTGCTTCCATCTCTCTTTAAACTCACCCAGCCAGCATATGAAGGCTTTTGCCACCAGCGCCATGTTCCTCAGGTCCCACACATAAGGGTAAAGGTCATAGAGCACGGCTCTGTTGGCTCCGCCCACCACACTGCAGTGGAGCTGTGCTATGTCTTCACACAGGGACATGAACCTGGAGGCCCGGCCACGCCACTCATCAATCTGAGGACATGCACGCAAGTACGAAAGGTCATGTACTTTTTGTCACTCACATTTATCAATCAACAAAAACCCCAATTCAAATTTCACAAACAAGAACTCTACACAAAACACTGACCAACCTTCTGAGGCGGTGCCTTCTTGCTGTTAGTGCTGACCAGGTGGCAGTTTGTTTTCAGCCAAGTCAGGTCCTGCAGCAGTTTCTGGGCTGACAGACCATGCTCGTGGGGTAGATAATGAAGACCAACCAGAAGCCGCACCTGCGACTCACTGAGGAGACCCTTCCCACCACACAGTCCCCGACCCTGGGCCTTCTGTCCCTTACCTCCACCTGAATGTGCCAAAGGCTTGGATCCTGGAGGCTGATTGGGTTGAACGGGCTGGTTGGGCCTCTTCTTCTCCCCCTCTTGTCCCTCCCTCTCCCCCTTGACCTTAGTGGGTGATGACGGGGGTGAGCTGGAGTTGAGGGGGAAAACAGGAAGTTTTGCCACGGCAGAGATTCCTCTCAAGGTGGAGGGGCAGTCGGCTCTGTCAGGAGTTTTGCAGCGAGATGCTGGAGCAGAGGAACGCTGGTCTGCTCGTGAGCTCTGCCGACCTGTAATTATTCAAACAAAATAAATAATTGCGTTACTGAGCAGCTAAAGTGTTTGGGTCTGGTCTAATGTCAGCATACACATATGCAAGCACAGCACCAAACCATAATGTTTACCTGCTTGTAGTGGTTGGTTGAGTTCTTCCATCCAGTCATGTAGTGCAGCAGACAGAGCTCTATCAGCACAGTATTCACACTCCTCATCTAGAGCAAACATATCATTGTGTTACTATGAGGATACTAAATTACTCATATTCACACAATATACAGGGCAGAAAACCGCTCTCAAATTCCTTAACATAATCAGTCTGTGGTGTTCATTGCATTCTAGTTGGACATGTTTTGGTGCATACACATCTACACAAATTGCATATACCTGGAATATTCTAATTTCACTATTTTTTCATTGGCTAGAAGTTTGCTCAGTGCATAAGAATGGCTGTTCTGTTCAGAGGTTTCACACTCTTCACTGTTAATCTGCTAATCGACAGTATAGACAGTCGACTAAATCTTATCAGACGATCCCTGAGGCTACATCTTATCAACTACAGTTCTGCATCCTAATGTGTATCTACTTGGGAGTACTTGACACCAAAAAGGTTGAGAACCACTTCTCTACTGTACTGGAGATACTGCAAAAAAAGTCTGTTTTGCAGTGTTGAGTGTTTCATATGACACATTTTAAATCATCGACAAGTCTAAATAATTAACTAGCATAACAAGGTCAACTTGCTTAAATGCTAAACCTGAAAATACTTTTACATGTCTAATCTAAACTCCCGAAAGTAGACCTAGTTTTTTATATTATTTTAGTCAATCCCTCTCAGACAAAAAGACTGAAGCCAGTACCTATTTTACACACTACCGCGCCCCCCACCCGTTTGATGCTGCCATTAAAATTCCTCATCCATTTTCCATCCACATCACAGGCTTCAGCCTGCCCTTCATCTCTCTTCTCATCCCCCCACCCCTTAAAGCCCTCCGCCTTGTTTCTCCTCCACCGAGGGACCTTCCTCTCTTCTCATTTCTTCCTTCATCACGCCACACAATTATTCCTCCATCACCACCTCTCCCCGCTCGGTCCTTAGAACACCTCACGCTACAGTGGTTCTCTCTCCAGCAGTTTTTCATCCAACTCCCTTGTTAACTCTTCCTTTCTCTGCTGGTATTCTCATCTATACTACCATAAATGAAATGCAACCAATACAAACCAAATGTCAAATCTTACTGAATACCTCACATACAAAATATCAGGACTGTATGCACTTTGTGTGAAATAGACTAAATGAATCTGAAAGCTATGGTCTCTTTGCTGTGAGAGTAAATGAATATTAATGGAACTGGTGAATTATGCAGAATTAGGTAAATATTTTAATTCTGTGCAACCAAAGCCTGAAGTTTACGGAAAATATTCAACCAGGACAAAGGATGGAACTTTAATTCTTAAGTTAATTGATTTGTTAAGTAACATCAGGCAACATTTCTGCCTGGTGGTTAAAATTGTGTTAGTTGCCAAGCAACGCTGTCTTATTAAACTTTCTTTCAGTAAGCAATGAGACTGTACATGGCTCTGGTCTGGCAGAGCCAATATTAGTTTATTAACTGGGGACATGTCTCATCACTTCTTCCTTCCAACTGGTCATTAATCCTTTTGCCTTTCTGTCAAATCCTTCCCTCCGCTGATCCCCTCACCTTTCCTCTCCTCCTTTCCAGCTCTGTACCAGCTTCCCAGCGTATGGAGAGGGATGTAGTTGGCTTCAAACTCGCAGTTCGGGTTGAGTAACAGGCCTCTGAGGTGGCTCCTCAGCTGAGGCTCTCTGCCCTTAAAAGGCCCCAGAAAGAGACGTCTGGAGTCATAGTCATTAGCGTGCAGATTGTCCCAGATGAGCGGGGGGCGCTGGAGGACAGACTCCACCTCAGCCAGGCAGTCTACAGACAGTTTCCTGGAGATGACCTTACTGCCTGTGGAGAGTGAAGGGAAAAGGGTGACGAGGGGAAGCCTAAAGGTTTGAAAAACAGACTTTGCCACATCCAAATCTGAGGGAGACACCAAGAGACTGAAAGGAATAGGTTGTTCTCTCTATTTCTGAGGCACTTTCAGACCAATCAGTGTATTTGAACTTGCCCCTTCAGTGTTGGTTCTCTTACACACGAAAGAACAATTATTTCTTTTTCTTTTTTTTTTGTTGCTTTTTGGAGAGAGAGGCGACAACAAGCATCAAGTGTCTACTGTAGCTTACATGCATAGATGTCCACAAACCTAAACGAGGACAGGCTGGTAGCATAGCAAGATAAACTGGGTGCTCCAGGAGACAAACGTTTTTTTCGGAATAGGTCGACAAGCAGGTATCACAAGATGCTTGTGCTTATGTATATGCTCATGACATCGTGATCCATTGCAGCGCATTTTTTCTTCAATAGCTTTGTGGCATATTTTGCACGCTGAGCTGTCTTTGTCTTTCTACTGGAAGTTTTTGTTTTTCTAATCCAAATTAGGTCAGGTGTCGCCTATGTTCCAGTACACAAAGAAACCACAACATCTATGTTACTGTCTCTGTCAATTTCATACACTGAAAAGCAGACAGTCCATCACAAAAGTTTGCAAACTAGGGGACCAAATTAGCCACTAAATTTGCAGCGTTATATATTTTCCTCTCAACTTAATTTTGACACATATCACAAGTCAAAACGAATAACATACTTGTGACTCATGCCTGAGCCTCATAGGACTCGCAATTTACTCAGTACTTTTCAGGTAGCATTTTTTTGATCACGTAATCATCGCTTGCAAAACGCCTTGAGGTATGGCTCCAGAGTGAGTGAGGGTTGAAAACAAGTTAAGTACAGTTTGTACAATACACATGCTCAGGAAGGTATGCTTTTCCTACCCCGTCTATGTTGACAAGGGAAAGTGAAAAGCAAGCATAATAGCTGTAGCTCACAATGTAACTATCGATTTGAAATTCAAAAACTGAAATAGATGAGAGAGGAGGCGATAAAGTGTGTACGTGTGTCTTTCTATTGTACTTCCATATGTATGTGGGTGGATTTGCACCTAAATCGTCTTTGGAGGATGTTTAGTGTGGATCTGTGCCTGCACTTATTTGCATGTGTGCATGCCAAGCTGTGTTTTGCCAGTGTGTGTGTGTGTGTGTGTTTGTGTGTGCTGTTACTAAGCGAGACATTGTAGGTCAGCTAATGAGGCCAAAAAAACAAGAAACATGAAACTATACTTAAAGCCCCTATAAGGAACTTTCATTTTGTGTTGATTCTGGCGGACAAAAGCGGTAGTGTTTCCACCACCTCGTTTTATGCATTTCAAGGAGAATCCGACCAAATCTGACCCTGTGGCAGGCATGAAGAATAACTATAAAGAAATGTTAATGTAGGTATATAAAGGCATCAGTATTAAACTCATAATCAGTTCAAAGCTCAGTAAACAGTAAGTTTAAAGACTGTTGCTTATGTCAACAGCTACAAGAGAACAGTTTCATTTTTGTTGTTTTATTAATTATAGTCATTTAAATCAATGACTTCATCAGTTAAACATTTAATATTTATGCTGACGTGTGTATATATCTCACCTGTCCATACCACTGTTATGTCGGGCAGCAGGTCCTCTCCAATAGTCTGCAGGTAGGGAGACTTTGATATACTGGGAGAACACAGAGAACCACAATACTCTACAGGGAGAGAGACAGAGATTTCATCATCAAGCTTCATGGACAGGCAATAAACACTGCACGTCAAATTTTACAAGGTTCTGTAAACACAAACACTCCAGTTCAATTCAGTTCAGCACTCCTACCTGTAGGGCAGAATAGGAAGACAGGAGGTTCCCCCAAGAACCGATAGATCTCATTGGTTACAGTGACCTGAGCATGGGCGAATGAAGAAAAGGCCTCGCTGTCGGCCTGACACATGGAGTGATCGATGTCATCAAACAGAATAGCAAATGCCTGGCAACCCAGGTCTGATACCTGGAGAGAGAGAGAGATGAGGTTGTGTATGAACAGAGGCTCATATCATAAAAAGTTACATTCCTGTAGTATTTATTATCTTATCGTGTCCTATACCTGTCTCAGCTTGCGTTTGAGTAGTGTGAGGTCACAGGAAGAAGAGAAGACAATGTCCTGACCAGGAGAGAGGGCGTAAACAAACTTCAGGCCTCTCGACTGGGCCTCTGCTATGAGAGTGCGTAACTGACCTGAAAGGAGGAGGAGGGGAAGGAAAAATCTTGAATTTAAAGCGAGATGAAGAGACACAGAGGCCAGTGTTTACAATTACAGAAATCTCTGGGATCAAATGAGTCTCAAATCATAAAAACAGTACTTTTAGTAGAGTAGCATTGCACTCCTATAACATTGTCAGACTCATGATAGACAGAACCAGAGATATTGTGTCTTTTAATCCATGCATGTTTCTTCCTTTCCAAAACACAATGCAACAAAAAGATTTAGGTGTGTTATGCTAGTAGTGTCTAATGTAATGAGGAAAGGCCTATAGATGTGTGATATGACTTCTTTCACTCCTGTTTTATTGCCTTTTTAATTTATGTAAATTTGTGTAAAGGGGAGGAGAGAGGGGACAACACAAAGGGCCACAGGTCAGATTTGAACCCTGGGCCACTGCAGCAAGGACTCATGGGTTGCCAGCTCTACCAGGTGAGCTATCCAGGCACCTGGGTGATGATTATTTGATGAATGTTGAATAGATAGATTGACAGATGGATGAATAGGATGTTCTTACTCTCCTCTTCAGGAGAATAGACTTCTCTCCACAGCAGTCTGTGTTTTAGGTCATCCTTTGGGCCGTACAGGTACGTGTTCAACCCCCAGTGCTGCATCCTATCACAGAAAGACAGGGACAGAGGAGACATGGGGAGGGCAAATGTTACTGAAGCGCAGGTTTAATTCATTATATTGATTCATTCTGTAAAAAAGTCTGCAATAAGGAGACACTCACTTACTGTATAAATTAAACCTTGACTGTCCCATTACCACTGTGATTTGTTTTTCTGCAACCATTTTTGACAGCTGCTTTGTTACAATTACAATCAGCATTTACCAATTTTTTTTATTCAAGCATTTTTAGACTTTTTTAACAACTTATAATTTAAAAGCAGTTCTAGTAAAGGTTTGAAAAGAGTTTTTATTCATTATTCAACTGTAGTTTCTACTAATCTTAACATTGTAGCTCACATTTTGATTATATTTTCATTAGGGTTTATTCTTTATATTCTAGTAAAAACTTAAATAAAACCATTTCTGATTTTTGATCCAACACACCTCTATAAAACGTTCTGGAGTGCAAGAACTCTTTATATTCTTTAAAACACTTCAATTGCTTTGATAATAACATCTATTACTTTGTACATGTATCTTTTATATACAGTATATTTGAACCGCCTTTTCCACAGTTTAAAGCCATAGCTTTATCTCTGTCATGTACTGAAGGAGCCCTGGAGAGAGACTGCTGAGAAGAAAAACAAAAACAACAAGCAGCCAGAAAACAGGTCTACTGTATTGATTGTGGGGCTCCATGGCCGCCTCAGTTACAGGAAATAACCTCCTGAATTATAAATAGAGCATAGTACTAGGAGTGAAACAATATCTGCATCAGAAACACACATATACACAAAAGCATAAATATTGCTCTTTCTCTCTCTGTGTTTCTGGACGTGGACCAGCTCTTGTCATGCTTGTCATTTGCGGGTGGACTAATTTCTCATTCTCTCCCGGCTTCATTTCCTGGACAGATGGTGTGTAAGTCGCCTCCACAAAGCTGCAACCTACCTCCCTCGAACACACAATCGCACGCACTCACATACTGTACACACGTTCGCAGCCCTGCTCTGCCAAACTTATGCAACACTCAATGTATGAATTTTGCCTGCCCCCAACACTTGAGTCTAAAAGCTGATCTATAAATAAACCTGGAGCCCACACACTCAGCTGCTGCTACACTGATAAAGTTTTGGAAGTCAGATTCACCCAAATAGCCTCTTTATAACGCAGTGATGGCCTGCAGTTCAACAAAACCTTGTTTGCCAGTGTTTTAATTTTCAGGAATAGGCTATACCAATGCCTTAAATGACGCTTTGACTCTTTGTTTTTTGTGATTGGAAATGATCTTTTACTGTAATTCATGCGGAATTCAAAGAGCTTGTGTCTCTTTGTTAGGCTGATGAAACTGTTGTGGCAGTCTCAATAAGGGGCTGCCGCCTTGATTTTGTCTTGTCAAGATTCAAAGAGACTCAGCTCATTGTCCTGCTGCCCTGATATTGGATTACTGTCTCTCGGGCCACTCATACTATACAGAACATTTGATAATCTTGATTGTTGATTTTATCTGGTCTAAATGGCTTTTGTCTACAGTGTTTATGTTGTCACAATGCTTGCAAAAGAGAGCCTATTATGGCACTACATTGGTATCACTCCACACACTGTGGCCAACAACTGTGGTTGTGCTCAGCAGCTCCCTGGTGTGAAAGTCTCTATGTGGAAAAAATATGTTGTTGCTAAATAGGAGCCATGGGCACAGCAAAATCTCCCCTCTGTAAAGGCTAAGAAGAAACACCTGAGGCTGAAATGTAGTGAGCAAATATGATTTAATATTCCAGTTAGCTCTAAATCTAACTGATATCACTATTGTTAACACAACAAAAACAAACAGTTTTGACTCTTCAAATGTATTTATTATCTATTTATTTTTTTATGTTTTCCAGTAAAGTACATAAAAAAACTTCACAAACATGCTTTGGCGTTTAAAGCCTTTCAAATGTTTTGCATAAGAATTCAAAATGAATTATTACTATTATCAACTGATAATTTATTGGGTATAATTAAATTATCCGAATAATGCTTAATAATATAAATTTACCATTATCAGCCAATAATTCATCAGTCCCAATAATCACCATGCATCCCTGTTAGCATTAATTGCTGGCTTTAAATTGTGTATAGAAGCAGCTAAAGGAGTTGGAAAAGTGGGAAAGGGTTAGATGCAGCTAGATGCATCACAATTCTACAAACCTTTAAAATATGAATAAATAAATGAAACTGTACAAAATGCCACGGCAACCCATCCAGTAGTTGTTGATTTTTTAGGCAGGACCAAACCTGACCAATTCCTACCATCCCTAGTTTGACTGAAAACCATATCTATGGAACCAAATGATCCGCAGCCAATCTTTGATGCTCTTTCTCTATTCTTCCGATGTAAGAGAATGCAGTATCTGCCCCCCTCTCCTCCTGCCACCCATGGCTGAGCCTCAGGACAGAGGATGAGCCTGTCCTTTGCTATCGACTCATTCTGCATCACTGATTTCTCTCAGGTCGTCCTGGCACTGAAATAGAGGCGTGCAACTGGGTTCAGCCAACAGGCGTCAGGTCAGTAGTTCCTGAGCTGACGCTGTTCATATGAAGAACAACAACAACACAAAAACCTCCCTACTCCGACCAGGTCAACAAGACATATGTGACACCTGTACCTTTGTACATACAGGGCAGCACATGCAAGCTTGCAGACACCAGGTTCATTACAGTTTACTAGCTTGTTTAAAGAGCGCTAACAGACTTACCACTGGAAGAGGACTTTCCTCTGATCCATAGACCACGGCCTCCCATAGAAACCTGCAGAGGAAATATAAAAATGAAACGAGTGCACAAATGCCACTATAAATCCACACCTTCAGTCTTCAGATATACATGATCACTGGCTTAATCAAACACCTACTGTAGAGTACTGTTTCGTTCCACAAGGCCATGCAGGGGAGTCGATTCTATTACTGATCTGTTTACTATTATAGGTTTTAATGGATTGTGGAAATCCTTTTGGATATATTACACTTCTTTCTTTTAAATTTCTATTAAATTAATTTTTTTTTTGATCAGTAAATAACAAACTGTGGTCTTTCTGATAAAAAATGTTAATGTCTTTGCAGCAGATGTTATTTCCCACATTTTATATTCAAACAGATATACTGTATGCATTGTCACTCTATATGAACCATGTTTATCATACTATACTCTGTACATGTTTTTAGTTCAGCTCTGCAACAATTAATCAAAAATTTGTCGGTTCTCAGATACTGGACACTATTAGCATTACAGCTGCAGTACTGTATGGGCACACAAAGGATGTGAGTTCTCCCACTGACTACTTGGTCACATCCCCTCTGTGTTTGGCAGAGGCATAATTTATCTCCAGCTACACTCTCCATCACATTTTCTATTTTTAGAAATGGGAGCATCTCCAGTGTCCCTCTCCCTCCTTTGTGTTTTTGAATAAGTCTGCAATGTGTGTGTGTGTGTGTCTGTGTGTGTAGGTGTGTGTGCACGTGTGTCTGTGTGTGTACGGTAAGTGGGTCATAGTGAGAAGTAAATCGGATCCACTAAAAATCCTGTCTGCTTTCCCCTGCATGGCCGTCGGGAGAGTGAATTTCATTGTGCATGTGCGTGACACATGTACCTGTGTGCATGAGTGTGCATGAGTGTGTGTTTTCATGTGGAGTGCTCCCCACTAAGCCAGACCCAATTACTAACTCTGTTGGATTCCACCACATGGGACTGAGAAACACACAGGTTTAAGGGGTTCCAAAAAGTAATAAGGTGTGTGTGTGTGTGTGTGTGTGTGTGTGTGTTTGCTAGAGCTGCATGATGTGTCATACTTTTATTATCATTGCGATATGAATTTCCAAAATAAGCCCATCCCAAAGGGCTGTGAAACCACACTAGCTGAGAATTACAGAGCGAGTGGACAAACAGACCAGTGCTGAAATAATTAGTCATTTGACAGAAATGAATTGGCAACGATTTTAATAATCAATCAATAATCGTTTAAGTAATTTAATGAGAAGAAATGCCAAATATTTGCTGGTTCCACCTTCTCAGACACATGGGGATTTGTCGCTTTTCTCTGTTTTATATCACTGTAAATTTAGATATTTAAGGCTTTTTGACTGGTGATCAGACAAAGCGAAACATTTAAAGATAAATATTTGCAGCATCATTTCTTTATTGTGTTCTTGTGTTTGTGTGTGTGGTTGAGAGGTGAGAGGGTTGGGGGGGGGGACTTCTTCTGCCATTATTATTATCAACTTCTTCTTTGCGGTCCTCTGCAGTAATTAGTCTGTATCCTGCTGTGTCATTGTCACAACCTGTTTCTACAACCTGTATTATTTTATTATCAACACGGCTAGTTTACTGTGCATCATCACTACTCTTCACTGGCATTTTTCTTTTTCCATTGAGGCCCTCATATTGTCCTCTTCTTCACTGCTTTCTTTCATCATCCCTTTATCATTACCATTACCATCATCATCATTCCCCCCTCACATCCAAAGTCACCGCCTCCCCACCATCACCCCCACTGTCACATCATCATCCCAACGAACATCATCAGTAGCAATTACCCTCCTCATCATCAAGTTCACCTTCACTATTATTGCCATTATCAGCATCATCACATTGTCTTCATTTCCTCCATTACCACCGTAATCATCACATTAATATCATCATCTTCATCCATTATCGGGAGTATTTCCTTCCCTCACGCTGCAGCCTTTGAACCAGACATTACTGAACGCTTTTCACCGCCTGCTTTTTGATCTCCACTCCGAGCCTGGCTGATCACCAGCACACCATCATCTGATGAAGACCCCTAACATCTTACCTACGTCTGTGTTCATAGTACCACTCCCACGCCCCCCTTCACCTACAGTAAGTGACAAAACAATGCTGAAATCTAGGTCAAACGGTGGCCTATTCAAAGACACCCCCCCGGGATAAGAAAAAAAATCACATGATCTTACAGGAGGTCAGTTCTGAAGTCGGCCGCTCTTACCTTCCACCACCCCGCAAAGAAACTGCTTCTTCTCCTCCATCCTGTCCTCGGCCCCGCTGCCTCCCTCCGCTTCCAGTCTCGCTTCTCGCCTTACGAGCGAGGGAAGACGAGATGCTCTCCCCGTCTGACAGCTTAGGTACCGGGGATATTCTTCATGCTTCTCCTCGATCTGCCTCCACCTCCTCCTCTCCCCTCTCCTCCTCTCCACGTCGCTGGGGCTCTCGTGTTGCGTTCAGGGGCTCAGCGGAAGCTCCCACTTTCAAGCACTTGACGCTCATGAAAACGAAAACAACTAATAACAATAGTGACCCTGCAAAAAAGGGGTCGTTTTTTTTTTTTTTTTGGTGGATTATTTTTTATTCATGTTTAAATTATAATAAAGGCAAAAGTATGCTATTTTATTCTGCGGTTACAGTTATTGACATATTGTTAATTGTTATGGTTTAATATATTATAATATTATATTATATAATACAAAAAACATTATTTGTAGACTATTGCATGTAAGCTATCTAAACAAGGTTATGTTCTTTTACAATACAACTGCAGAGCGAAACAATGACATTTGCTCAAATTAAGAGACAACATGAAAGAAGAACTCTATTATTAATAGTTTAATGGGCATAAAGAGAGAAACACATTTTCACAATTAAAATGCGTAAGCTATCAGACTAGAGCAGAAACCTTTAGTCTTAATTATAAAGCAAAATATTGTTATACTTTTTTGTTCCCCTTGTATTTCTCTGTGCTATAGTATATATTCATATACATATAGTCAAGGGGTGTGTCAATATCTGTCAATTAAACCACTTTTGCAGTAAAATAGTTTTATACAAGAATCCATCTCTTATATGGGAGACCTTGGAGAATATAAAAAACATTGTTGGCCTTCCCCTCTAACTTATATGGGAATGGGAATATCCTCTCATGGAAGTGAGGTCCAAAAACACACCTGCTATTGCCGTTTATCTCCACACCTGATCCTAAAGGATGCTACTTACATGTGATCACTTCATTCCACTGTGCTGTTCCTGCTGAGGCCTGCTGGCTGCATTCTCCTCTTCTGACAGCAGGGGGCAGAAGAACTGAAAAAGCAGGTCTGACATCTTGGAAGTTGGCTAACTGAGCGCCCCCTGTCACATTCACTGTTAAACCTAGTCATTGCATTCAGTGTTAAATTAAATTACAGCATAACTTATAGGTAAATTGTTGTAATAGATGGCCAACAGTAACATTATACTACTAGCTATAAGTTAACTTATTCTTTGCATAATATCCCATTAGAAAGTTTATAGTTAAGAGTACTTTTAGCTATTTTACTAGTTACTTTACTTTTAGCTAACAACATATAATGTATAACTATAGAAATGCTTATTTTATTTAATAGAAGAACATATAGGATAAAGACAGAATACTGCACTAATATTACAGGGTAGCTTACATATATACATATACATAGGTACAGACACTAGAAACTTTATTTGTGTCTATTCATATATGAAAATTAGTATTCAACCTAAGAACATATTAAGTGGAGGATGTCAAATTCTTTCTTTTCAACATAAATCCAATTTTGTTTCACACATATAACATTAGTTATAATTGGTTCTGTGCCAAACGTGTGCTATAAAATTGAGCTGTAAAGAAAAGCCTTACAGTTTCCTCTCTGTGACAGCAGTCATATATTTCAAATATATGTGTGTGTTTTTTCATATGATTCAGATATTTCCAGTAGCCCTGAAGGCACCATCTGCCTTTGCTTCCAGTCTTTATTCTGCACAGGGGCACTGAAGAGATGAGGAAAGGAAGTGTGTGTGTGTGTGTTGTGTTTGTGTTTGTGTGTGTCTGTGTTTGCAAGTGAAAGCTTGAAAAATACACACTGCTATATGCAAAATATTTTCCAGGGGACTGTTTGGTCTCTGTTAATGGATTGTGGGCCATAAACTTAAATGTTTCTTAAACAATTAAACAAATATGCTTTCTCACTCTCCCTTTGTATTATAATACTCATAAAACAACTCACTCAAAAACGTTTTTTTACACTTACAATAGTACTTATTTGTAATATTTGTTTGTAGACAAATTCATTTACTGCGGGATAAGTGTACAATATATTTGTACAACCACAATAGAATTAATAGGCTACTATATGAATCAGACTATGAGCACCCCTTGCTGGAATTAAACTAAATTACACTGGTGCCACATTAAACAATGAACTGATAGCTCCTTTTCCTTTAAAATGCATTTAAATATGTACAACATTTGTATTTATGCCATGTAGCATGTTTTGTTAATGGAATATATATACAATGACAAATCTAGGACATGGGGTACTAAACAGCCTCTATGAATTGAACAGGAAAGATCCTCAGTAGCAGTGTTAGGTTTTATTAAAACGTTCCTGAATAGCTTTAACAGTAAACAGCACTTTTACATGATTTGCTTTTGTGTCTGTAACATCTCTGCAATCTACAGAACTACAGTACTTATATTATATATAGGAGAATATTTTATCACTTTTTTGTGAAGAGAGCTCAAAAAAGAAAATGTTAGACACAGGAATATAGTAAACAGTAAACAGTAAATTCTGTGGATGTTCTCCATAATGTGTGTTTTAGTAGGCATGTAGTTCATAAAGAGGCAATTAAACGTCTAGCCTCAATGCAGAAAACCACTCATGTGAAAACCAGTCTGCAAAACTGATGATCATGATAAAAAATATTTACAGGAAAAGGGAAACAACAATGTTACATAACATGTCATGCTACTATGATTGACTGTGATTAGTAAAGGTATAGGGAAACCCCAACTGCAACTACTTCCTCCAAGCATAAGGCTAAATAGCAGGTTACTCATTACTTAATTCAGAGGTGACTTACACAATATCATAACAACAACTCAGGTAAGCAAGACATTGTTTTAAAACAGTGTTACTATAAGGCTAGCATCACAGTGGTAAAGAGGAACAAATTGTACATTGGGGAAAAAAACTATCAAATAGATACAAGTAATTTTGTATTTACAATGTTTTTTTACCTTCTTTGTGCTGAATTTGCATCTCTTTGTAGTCGTTTTGCTTTTCTTTGTAGTTGTTTTGTGAATCTGTGGTTGTTTTAGGTCTCTTTGTGGTCATTTTGTGTCCCTTTGTGTCCTTTTTGTGTCTCTTTGTAGATGTTTTTTGTCTCTTTGTTGTTGCTCTGTGCCACTTGGATGTTTGGGGTCACTTTTTAGTTGTTTCGTCGTTCTGTGCCATCATTTTGCCTTTCTTTATGGACATTTTGCTTCTCTTTGCAGCCTTTGTGCGTCACAAAGAGACTGTAGTTGTTTGATTGACTGTCCAACAAGAAATGTGAACAGTCCCTTCATACAGTGCAGAGCCCCCCTGATCCCCTTAGGCCTTTGTGCACATTTAAACAGGTTGTGGTTGACCAGATCTGCATACCTTTCCATTAGTGCATTGTAAAGAAAGAAATATTGTCAAGTTAAACCTTTACTTCCTTGTTCCTGCACCAAGGTTGTCTTTGTCACTGAAGGGTTTGTTCATCTTCACTGAACCCTAACTACACTCATGAGGACATACTTACAGCAGCTGAGCACTGATAAACATCAAACAAGTACTAGGAATGCCCTGTATTTTTAAGCAGGAAGAGGTTACAGAGTTAAGCGTAAGTAGAATCAATAACTGTACCATATTTTGCAGAGAAATGTATTGGGCATTGATATACTTGTACATATCCACATACATCTCATATAACAGATGTATAGAGTTGGTTTAACATGTGTTTTTTTTAAGGTTTAACTCATGGATTATGGGCTGATCGTCCTTGTCCTCACAGGTTGGTGCCTCTTGTTTGATTATTCTGGCTTTTTGTCTTTTCAAAGTAATTACAGTTTAAGCTGTCTTCACTCAGTGTTCATTCAGTATAGGTATTTCTACATTTGTTGGAACTGAGAAAAAAGGACAACTCAAGTTAACACTATTTATAAATTACATAATTCATAACTAACTAACATAACTACTTATATTCCTAAACCTGTTTTTAGTGCCGGAATTGCAAGTACACAAAATCTTTTATGTAGACTAACTGGATTATTAATTTATTGACGCTGACTGTTAGGCAACACAAAGAGTTAGAGTTATAAGTTAAAACTAGTGTATTGTATAGAAAGTGAATGATGAATAGATAATACAATAGGAAGAGAGGAAAGTGTGTACTGTATGACTCCCAGTCATACAATTACTTCTTCACATTTACTCACTTGTGGTATTTTTCCCTCCCGGGTCCTTATGCCAGTTTACGTTTTCAGCTCACCTTTACCTGGTAGTTGAATCATCAGTGGTTTTCTGAGACAGACTGAAACTTGATGTGGCTCAAGCTGCGACGGAGAAATTGTTGAGGCATTAGTCATTAACTCCAGCAGGTCTGTTTGGTTCAGGTTCAGTGGCGCATTCATTGTTATTGTTGAAGTTGTGATGCTGTGCAACTCAGTCAATGACATGGCAAAAATGGTGGGGAGGGAGGGTTCATTTTTCACAGTGAGTTTAACTATGAATAAATTTGAGACTTAAATGGGTATAAATTAATCACAATAGCTCTAACTATATGAACAATATACAAAACATTTTAACTCCATAGAAAGGAGAACTGTTTGCTGTTCTTGCCACAACTGCTTGCAGATAAGAGTTCAAGAATCTTATCAATGAGGAAGAAGCTTTGTGAAACCCTGCAGCCCGCTTAATGAATGGTTCCTCTTCATATTCAACCTAAAAGAACACAGAAAGTCTATATAGTTTGTAAGAAAGTGAGTAATTAAAAAACAATGAATATGCTTCATTTTAGGAGCACTGGTTGATGTAACCTTTGCCCAAACTCGTCAGTACTACTTTGTGAATGAGCTACTGAGCTGGAACGATTCTCAGAACTACTGCAGATCTTTCTTAACTGACCTGGCCACCATAGAAAACACAGATGACGTCGATGCCATACTCAGCACTGCATCAGACTTCACAGGCAAGTTCTCAATATTGGAATCATATACATGACATATGTATATATACAGTATATGTATAACCATATACTTACTTATGAGACACATAATTTAAGTGATGTTTCTGTAAAATCATTTACATTTTAGGTCTATTCAGCCCTTGAATTTGTTTTAAATTTCCTGCTGTTTTGTATAATTAACATGTTTTTGAACAGGCAAGGCTTGGATAGGTCTGTATGATGATTTGATAAACAGCTGGAGATGGTCCCTGAATGACAGCAGCTTCTATGGTAAAGGAGAGACAGAGTTTAGAAACTGGCATAATGACAGTGACCAGCCCAATAACCTTGGAGGACAACAGTACTGTGTGGAGCTTCTTAGTGGTTCACACTTGGGGAAATGGGGAGACACTGAGTGCAGCGCACAACGACATTTTGTGTGCTACAATGGTGAGTTTTCCTATAGCGTAAGAATTAACCAAATAAATCTTCTACACTGCATTTCCAGGAACATTATGCCACTTCTATGTATTTGTGGAGGTGACATGAGTAAAATTTAATCCCACTGAATCCAGATCTTCCAACTTTTTTTCGCTGATACTTCAGCATACATTGTAGCAATTTGAGTGTTACCTACAAGTTCATCCTGACATTGTCTATAACTTCTCCTTATCCATGTATTTCCAGGTACAGTAAATGGCATATCATCTTTTATAAAGGTCAACACATCTCTGAATTGGACCGATGCTCAGACATTCTGCAGGGAGAATTATGTTGATCTAGCCAGGTACGGTACTTAATCAACTTCTTACGTTTTGATCCTTGACACTAGAGGAACTTGGAATAAGTCATGCAGTATGATTGTGATTGTGATAATTAAGTCCAGTATTAGTAGTAGAAGTATTGTAGCAGTAGTACACTGTGTTAGCAGCTAAGTGGTTAGCACTACAGCAAGAAGGTCTGTCAGTGCCCTGACTTAGAACTAGAGTTGGTCCAATGGTCTTATAAACATATAAATGTTTAATTGTAAGATAACTATTGTTGCTAGTAGTAGTAGTTTAAGCAGTGTTAGTTAAATGGCTACATTGTCCATATCATCTAAATCACCAAATCAGTCACATAACACATTTTCTTATATTTCAAAACAATCACAAACAATGTATTGCAGTGTGCATTGGATTGTTATACTCAACATTGATATGCATATGCTGTTGTGTCTCTCTCAGCATACGAAATCAGACAGAAAATGACATTATCACAAACCTGGCAAATGGGGAGTTTGTGTGGATCGGTCTTCACCGGGAAAAAGTTTGGTCTGATGGAAGCACCTCTCTATTTCGACACTGGGCTGCCAGGCAACCAAACTCTGGGACCCTTAGGTGTGTCACCACTTTGTTCAATGACTCAGGACTGTGGTCAACTGAAGATTGCGCAACAACATTGCCATTCATCTGTTACACACGTAATGCATTTTATTTCTATATACTTTCTATATTCCACATACTGTATAGAGAGAGGTTAATTGCTGAATAATTAGAATATATTAGCAAATGCAGTTTATTTCATGATATATTAGGAAATATATACTGTAATATATATTAGCAAATAGATTGTGATATCTGTTTGCTAATATATCGTACCATTAAGATCAGATTCATTTGTGTACATGAACAACTCTATTGTAAATGAAGGAGAAGCGGAAGAAAAAACTTTCTCCATTTTATACTATAAAGCTAATTGAATGTTCACCTGGAGTCCAAGTGTGTAACATTTAGGAGTATATATTAGAAAAATGTAATAAATGTTTTCATTAATGTCGAATCACCTGAAAATAAGAATTGTTATGTTGAATAAGCCTTTTAAAGACGCTACAGATCATCTTTCCATGGAGTCCAGTGCATTTAACCACAATGTTTCTACAGTATCCCAGAAGGAACCAACAAGTTTTCAGCACTGGACCATTAAGATAGCAACTGGATTCTGCTTAACTTTTGGACTAATGGGTATCATGAGTATAATATTGTTAGATCTGAGAAAGTATGAAGAAGAATGAACCTACAGTACGATGATGAATTGATCAATTAATTTAAAGGCGTCGGTGAATCATCAGTAGGAATATTAATTTTGTAAGACATGTTATATAAAAGTATATCATATGTGTTGCATCAAACAACTGATGAGTTCAAATAAGTCTGACCATTGTGTTTAGCTTCTGTCTTAAAAGTTGTCCTCTGTTTTCTTCCACCCCATTCAGGAATCTTCACATCAACAGGACAGAATGAGACCAGTATCACTCTGCAGTGGAA